GGTTTAAGGACAAAAGCTCCTGGCGGAGAGCAGCACAGGTAGAACCATAGCCTGCTTGTTGATCAGAAACGAACTTAACGTTTTTCTTTTGTCTAATTTCAGCAACGTGAAGTCGTCACTGCTAGGCTGGAGGACAGTGCTGGAGAACTCTGGCTTGTCTCAGCCTACATGCAGCACGACGACGAGGTGGAGTCACCTCCGGACCTGCTGAAGAGGGCTCTGGCTGAGGCCAGGCACAAAGAAGCCGCAGTCTTAATAGGCTCGCGTGCCAATTCAAGGCACACCGTCTGGAGGAGCTCGGACATCAACGCAACAGGTGAGTCACTTTTTGATTTTATTTGTAGTGTAGACAATTCTATATGCGATAGAGGAAACTGTCCTACCTTTGTAACAGCTAGCAGGGCGGAAGTCCTTGACGTTACGCTAGCCTCTAGCGAAATTGCTCCCTTGATTTCGGAATGGAGGGTTCTAGACAACCATTCCTTCTCCGATCATAAATATCTTGGGTCCAGCTTGAACACCTCGAGCTCAAAACCTATAGAAATTTCAGGAATACCAACTGGATCCTGTACTGCAGGAAGCTTCGACCAGTTCTTCCAACCGCTCCCGACAAGGATTCGATCCTATCTGCGGATGCGATTGATGAGTTCGTCGAGGCTTTCAGCTCTGTTAGTAGAACTACTCTTGAAAGCTCCTGTCCTCGGAGAACTCAGAAAAGCAAAGGGAAATATTCTTGGTGGATTTTGAAGCTAACAGAGATCAGATCTTCGAGCAGAAGACATTTTAACAAAGCCCGTAAAAGTGGCTCTAGTGACGACTAGGCGTTGTACAAGGCTGGACTGGCCATTTACAAGTCAAAGTTGAAGAAAGCCAAGAAAGTCTCGTGGAAAGCCTTCTGTAGAGGATTGTCATGGGTCTTCACGGTTCAGGCGCATTCTTGCAAAAAATCCTACTGAGGCATCTGAGAAATGCCGATAGTAGTTGGACAACGAGCAGCGGGGAGTTGGAGAGACTTATGATCTGTACATTAGGAGCAGAATACCGAGGGTAAACTGTTACGGATTCAGCATGCCTATATTACAGTTAGGTCGGTCGACTAGAAGCGGCCTAGCCGTCAACCTAAGTAAAACCGAAATGATTTTATTTAGAGGTATAAGATCCCAAATGTGCTTCTCACCTCTTTCGGGGGTTAACGGCTTCAACATGTTGATAAAGTGAAATACCTACGGCTTGTCCTTGATAGAAAGCTTGCCTGGAAGCTAAACATTGAAGAGAGAGTGAAGAAGGCATCGGTCGCCTTATATTGCTGCAAAAGAGCTATAGAAAAAAGGTGGGGACTCTCACCTAAGGGGGTGTTTGTCTGGTAGAGGCGCTCGAAAGAGCGGCGCTTATCGGTATATCCGGTGCACTGCGGACCACACCAACGATAGCTCTTAATGCAATTTTAAACATTGCCGGCAAGGGCGGTCCGAACAAGGGCACGCCGAAATTCTTTCCTCCTTCAGCTGCATTCCGGAAAATTTAGATTTACTGCATCACTGGGGCCACTTGAGGTGGCTTTTTCGTTGCTCTGGGCGGCAATACTAGCCCTGAGCGCGCGAACTATGCAATTAAAGCTGGTAAAGGAGTGTTTGTCCTTCTAGCTCTAGATCAATGGACCTCGCGTGCACTCAGCAGACGTTGGTCGACGACCAACACGTTGCTCTAGCTCCTTTTCAATTGTGAACTCTTTAAGTCATTAAAGTTATCCATTTTTAAACAATTCTTTCTTTGGGAGTTTATTTGACAATCCAACTTCTGACACTAATTGTAACGGATTTGTCGATATAGAAGATTTTTAGAAAAGAAAAATGGAAGTATAATGCGTAAACATGTAAATAAAAAAAAAATTAAATAAATTAAAATTGAATGAGAATTTAGATTGTTTTATTTATAAAGAAAAAAGGTAACCGATGCGTTAGTTGTATTCAATAAATAACCAAACAAAAAACCCACAGAAGCGTTCGAGGTAACCGATCAACCAGTTTTCTGTAACCAATGGATAACCAAACAAATAACCTATGAACCAGTTGAAACAATAGCAATAACCAAACAAACTATTTTCAGTACCAGATGGCTAACCAAACAAATAGCCAATGAAAAGGACGCGGTTAACCAAAGAGCAACAGAGAGTTTTCCAAAATAGTTGGCAAAGTAGAGTTGTACAATTTATGTAGCATTTGCGCAGCAGCAATGAGAGAGAGCGAGTAGAATAATCACACCGACGTGTAGTGAAAGAACAAAAATAGGTGTAGATATAGATAATACTAGAAAAAAGTTACCTATCGGATAACTAATGCATTAATATCTGATAATCTTGTGAGAACTAAATACCCATACGGAACTTAGCCCACACAGCGCATGAAGACGCACCCTGTTAAACAAATACCACATAGCAAGGGTATACAAGAAGAAGGAAAACGAAACATGGCAAGCGCGGTACGATACGGTAAAATCACGCCACGTAAACCACACAACAAGTATTGGGCTGCAACGGGAAAACCACGCCACTTCTAGCAACACATGCCATCCCAAAGCAACATGTTGCGAACGCGAGTTAATATCGTTTACGCGATATGAGTAGAAAGAAATATACTTTTGAGCTGCACCGAAATGTGTGCTCATTATTGATACTCTTAAGACTAACTAGTTTACATAAATCTTAGTGCTATTTATACTATTGAGCTGTATTGATAGTTATCTGTTTACTAACAGATAAAACTATTAGTTTCTATTGTTATATTTGGGTTGTTATTGATAGTGCATTTCTATTGTTATATGTTCTTATCTCTAGTATTTATATTTTACAATGTGTGTTAACTGATAGATACTTGTATGTTTACATATGCTTATTTTGATTTTGTGTATTTATGTCTAATAAGTGATATGCTATGTCACTTATATATAAGTATCTATGATATGTATGTATGTATGTACATATGTATATGAAGAAGGGCACAATAGACCATAGGTCGCGGTGCATACCTCGAAACTAATCTAATGTACATATGTTTATGTACGATGTGTATGTGAAGTGTAGAGATCACATATTGTATACAGATATGTATGCGGTGTGCGGCTATGTCGTTAACTCGCGCGAACAAGCAACACACGGCTTGGAGGAAAGCAAGCAGGCCCATCAGCAGTGAATCAGCACAGGACTGTAAAAGCGATCACACGCATGACTAGACTCAGCAGTGAGTCGATCCTCTGGGTAGTCTTAGTGTCTTAAGTTGTGAACGCCGTTCGTTAAGGGTGAGCTCGGTAGTGAGTTGATCCGCTGACCGACTCAACCGTAAACTTTCGGTCGCCAACCCAGTCTCCTGTAGTCCGGGATCATTTTTAAACTTCTATATACGAGCGCCCGGCAGAAACATCCGGGCGTCGTCGTCGTAGCACCCACGAGCGTCAACGCACGCAGCAGGACGTCGTCATCTAAGCCTAAACGAGCGCCGGCAGAAACATCCGAGCATCGTCGTCGTAGCACACACGAGCGTCAACTCATGCAGAGGTAGAATCGCCGTCGAAGCCATCATCACCACAGGACGCAAACGTAAATCATCCTAAGCCGCTTAGCAACCCTAGAGCGCGGCAGAGTAGAATACGCTATCGTATAAAAGCTATTCAACGGGAGCGCGGAGAGGCGGATGACGCTACTGCGGTAAGGAGTAAATGCCTCGCAGTGAGTCGATCCTCTGGCAGGCATTTCACTCTTAACCGTACGGAGGCTGGAAGTCACGAGTGAAGTTGATCCTCTGACCTACTCCACGCTTGGCATCGCGGCCGCTGCCACTGCCCTCCGCAATTCTGCGTGATAGTGACGCGCTAACGGGCCACGCAAACCGCGCCTCTGCCATAGCGCTATCCTCGGGTGACTCCACTACAACGCGGAGGACACCATTTTGTATAGTCAAGTTAAAGAGAAATTGTGGATGTATGGTAATTTTTAATAAAATACGATTTGTAAAAGGCACCATCGTCTACAAATTTATTGTAACGAACCCTGGACACGGCGAGTATACCTCAGCAAATCACAAGAAGCAAGGGTAGCAAAAAGCTTCGTTACAATCTATCGGTAGCCAGTTAGCTAACTTTTACCCGTCTTGTAAGGAAGCCGGCAAAAGCGCAGTCTTGTGGATAATTTTAGCAATTAAGAAGTCGGAAATATTGTATTCACTCAAGAACTGAAACCATTGGACCACGGTAAACTTCGTAAATTTCCTGATTTTGTTGTGGAAATATTTGAAAACGATCACGATTTTTTTAAAAAAATCATCTTCTCCGATGAGGCTCACTGTCATCTGAGTGGTGCGATAAATAAACAAAATTTTCGATTCTGGTGCGAAAGAAAACCACAAATTATTCATGAACAACCATTCACCTAAATTGACAGTTTAAAAAAAAAATCTGGTTCCAACAAGACGAGGCAACGTGCCACACAGCACATGAACCACCGAATTATTGCGAGAAAATTTTGGAGACTCGATAATTTCAAGAAATTTTGACATTGAATGGCCTCCAAGCAGTTGTGATTTATTAGACTACTTCTTATGGGGTTATTTAAAGTCATTGTTCTTTAGCAATAAACCAGACCCTTTTTCAGCTTTAGAAGTCAATATTGAACGAGCTATTCATGACATACGACTTGATTTAGTGGAATAAGTACTTGAAAATTGGGTTAATCGAATTCGTTCCTGGAACGAGGTCAAAGGTAAAAAAAAATGAGTTTTTCGCGATTTTCAGCAAATTAGTGAGTTTTTCGCAAAATTACCCCAGACCCAAATTGTAGATCATAAAATTCTTTACAAAAAACATATTAAGAATTTTTTTCCGAAGAGCCGCCATTTTGAAGATATAACGGATTAAAAGTTTAAATAATTCGTAGTCGTCATAATTTGCATAAGTATGTTACGTATATACATGTCAGAGTGCCTTATAAATGAAATAGATACCGTTAGTCTTGTGCGCAACTCCGTTGTGAAAACATGTGCTTATCCTAACCTCTTTTCTAACCTATTTCGTGCTGTTTTGAGTTTTATAACAAAAATGTCAAATTATTGTTTTATTTGTACTCATCTTTTAACTGAAGGTCAAACTGTAACTGTTAATCGTGGTATGAAGACATTGATTAATGCGAGTATTGAAAGAGATGATGGATTTTCGAAATATCTTATAAAACAAAAAAGTGTAACAATACATGAGGAGTGTCATAAAAATTATACACGAAAGTGTTCTATTGCTGTACTCACCAAAAGAAAACACGAAGAACAAGAAGCCAGTACATATACAAGGTCATCAGTAAGTCCTCCTCGTACTAGATCACGTTTAAGTGATTCAGCTTTTTCTTTTAAAAAACAATGCTTATTTTGCGGCAATGAATTGAATGAAAATTCTGAGAAAAAAATCCCTACATCGTCGCAGTAGCATTTGTGAGGTAAGTACACTTCAATTCAAAAATTCATTTTTGGAAATTGCTTGGCCTCGTTCCGATGCTATATCAAAAGCTACTGTAGCTCGAATGGAATTTGAACATGATTTAGTTGTTGCTGAAGCTAACTATCATCAAGATTGTTACTTCATTTTAAAACCGACCACTGGGGTAAAGTCGGACGTCCCAAAAATGAAAGTACGAATCTGGCAATGGAGGAAATATTCACATATATAGAAAGTAGCAATGACTGTCAGTTCACTTTAAATGAATAAGGTAATGTTTCCAAAATAATAACTTTAGATAACAGGACAATAGGTACGACTTAAGCTGAAGTATGGCGATAAACTTATTATCACTGAAAATGGGAGCATCAACATTTATATGTTTGATAGACAATCATCATGTCATTTTGAATCAAGCTTGGTACGAAAAAAAAATTAATAAGCAAGAAGAACGATTAAGAATTTTGGAAGCTGCAGCATCTATTATTCGTGAAGATAAAAAGGGATGTAATGCTAAATGTGGTTGCAAAAAAGTTGGACTGTTTTGTTCCCTGGCCTGTACACATTGTCAAGGCCGGTCGTGTTCTAATTTTGAGTCACCAACTATAGAAGACTCCTATCATACCAACGAGGAACCGCTATTGGGGCAATTTACTTGCACCCAAACTGTAGAAGAAGATGAAGAAGAAGAAGAAGAAGTAGAAGAAGCACAAGAGGAAACAGAAATATTAGAAAATTATGATTCAGATGAATAAAGTATGCTAATTTTTTTTTGTAATTACACCGCTTTTATTTTTACCAAACTTTTTTAATAGATATTATTTTGCAATAGTTCTGGAACAAACAAAATCACAACAGATCCGTGGAATAGGCCTACTGGGGAAACCAAGTTAAAAAAAACGAGCTCATAGGAGGTAGCGTGGAAACGTGTGCAAATTATGACGACTACGAACTATTTAAACTTTTAATCCGTTATATCTCCAAAATGGTGGCTCTTCGGAAAAAAATGATTAATATGTTTTTTGTAGAGAATTTTATGATCTACAATTTGGGTCTGGGGTAATTTTGCGAAAAAACTCACCAATTTGGTGAAAGTCGCGAAAAACTCATTTTTTGACCTTTGACCTCGTCCAAATTTTTTTGCACACACCGGAATGATGAGGAGTTTTGAGATTTCTTTTATAATTATATTTAGAGCTATTTTGCAGAGTTTCAGCTTTATGTGAATTTATGTAACATTCCGTCTGATTTTAGGCGTAAATTGACCGGACTACATGAGTTTAGAATAATTTTATATCTTATTTTAAGTATCATTATGCAGTTGGTTTTTTAGTGCATTCAATAATTTTGTTTTGGTTTCCATATATAATACATATGTACATATGTATATGCATGAATGTACTTTGAGGTTGCTGAACAGCCAGAAGTCTCACCGAGCCTAATTAGAATACGGTGGTTCCGAAAAGATACGAATCGAGTTTTTGGCAAAAAAATAACGGGAAGAACTAATACAGTATGACATGGGGCAATATCGTGATGAAAGAACCAAGAGTTGTTAGGCCATAATTCCGACCGTTTCAGGCGACTAGCTGGACGCAAACGCCACGCTAATTAGCAGTATGACATACCTATATTGGTTACCGAATCAGTTAACAGTCTATTAAATGTAACAAATACATGTGTTACCGAACATGTTAGCTATATGTTACCTTGGCCTTTTACATGTGTTAGCAAATGAGTTAACTATGTGTTATTCATAACAGCAATACCAGTTACCCTTAGAATTATTGTTTTGGTCGCCAATTTGTTTCTTTAACAAACATGTTAGCGCAATTCTTACCTATTTGTTAACAATAACAAGCATATCTATTATTTTATTTTCATCGACGTATTACTCTGTTGGTTATCATCTGTTACCTCTAACAAACGCATATGCTAGTTTCTCGATTACCCTTTTGTTACCATAACCAATAACCAATTCATTTTCTTTTAAATAAAATTCAATTCATTCTGTGTAAGCGGTAACTTGAGTAAAAATTATTAATTAAGGACGATAACCCCGCCTACTCCCCATATAAAGGGTTTGTTGAAAACTACTAAAAGTGTGATAAATCAATAACTAAATGCGTCAGAGACATTAAACTTTACATCCAGGATGGTATAAGAGGGCTTTATAGGTAGGAGCTGCTGTCAAAATTTGGGCAATGGGCATAGAACTGCCTATGTTAGGTGAAATCTCGGGACCTACTCGACCGATTTCAACCAATTCGCTATTAATAAAACGGAATAAAACTTTGTACGAATTATGCCTTTAAAGTATGCCACTTTATGACCAAAAATTTCCCAAATCAATCCAAAACTGTTCAAGCCCCTAGGTACCGTACATGTAGACCCCAGTACCTATAGTTAACCTTTTACCGAAAATTTCGTCAATATGTGAGATATATTATTGAAATTCGGAGAGAAGCCTTTCCTGAAAATGGTCGGGGGCGTTGTAGAATCTGATATATATCGGAATCAGAATTGAAACCGATAGAAAAATGTTGTAGGTCTCATGAGTTCAGATATTATTGCATTGACATTAGAAACTAAAATTGTATCGGCTTTGGTTGTGACGGAAACCAATTTTAACGGTTTTGTTATCAGAATATAACCTAAAATGTCAAAATTATTGAGTTTAGGAAAAAATCCAGATATTTTAAGAGAATTCACAAAACGTAATTTAACACTCAAATGCGTTTTTATTCAGTCGATAATTTGATATAAATCTGTAAAGTAAGCATGTGTACAAGAATACAAGTAAATGCAAGCTAAATTTCTCATGCGATCCCCCTGGTGCATCAAGTGGATTACTGTGATCTCTTAATTTTTTCGTTGCTTTCTTTCATTGTAAATTCATTGTAAACTTTAGTAGACTTTATTCAGTATTTAAAATGTATCAAACGCTTTCAAATTTATTCATTTGCAAGTTTTGTCACAGTAGTAAACAGCTGATACGAATATTGGTTTTGTGTATGTTCGAAAAGACGAAAATTCAATCAGATGCTATGATCATTGGAAAGTAGAATTGATTTGCAATTCTGACAACTACGTAAATCTGTCTTTGATTCGACAACACCCCTGAGAATTACTCCCAACTCTCATTTACTACATTGACTGATTTTCGTTTTTATAACAAGTTTTATGGCGAATGTTTCGTTCAGTACATAAGTTATATACTTAGAAAATTGCTTGAAAATATGTTATCAAGTATACCTAAGCAATCTCCAAATTAATGCAATTAGACCGTTTCTTTCTTTGCCCCTAATATACCTCATATCATGATTTCCGTCTTTCCACCTGACTTTAAACCGTTCATGTTAGTCAAAATGTAATATTTTATTGAAATAAAATGGTCAAGTTTTCTTTGGAATTGATATAAACCTCATATCCTTAATATAATGAATTCTGATCCTCTGGTTGACGTATTCCACATCAATTCAATATATATTAAATTCAGCCTCTTTGGTTGAGTGGATATCACACGTATCTAATTGTAACGAAGCTTTTTGCTGCCCCCTGCTTCTTATGGTTTGCTGAGGTATACTCGCCGTGTCCAGGGTTCGTTACAATAAATTTGTAAACTGTGGGGCTCTTTACAAATCGTTCTTTATTTGTCTTCCAATAACACAATATGTAGATCCACTTTCAATCACTCAATATTTAGATCCGCGTTGTAGGAGCGTCACCCGATGCTGGCGTTCATTCCACTTTCAATTACACAATCTCGAGATCCACGTTGTAGGAGCGTCACCCGATGCCGGCGTTCATTCCACTTTCAATTACACATTCTCTGGATCCGCGTTGTAAAAGCGTCACCCGATGCTGGCGTTTCGACAGGGTAGTCGTTCACGTAACCCGTTAGCGAGTCACTCTCACGCGGAATTACGGAGGGCAGTGACAGCGGCCGCGATGCCAAGCGTGGAGCAGGTCAGAGGATCGACTCACTACCAACTTCACGCGTGACTTCCGGCCTTCGCACGTTAAGGAGTGAAATGCCTGCCAGAGGATCGACTAACTGCGAGACATTCACTCCTTACTGCCGGAAAACGTCGTCTGCCTTTCCGCGCTCCCGTTGAATAGTTAGTATACTATCGCGTATACTACTGTGTCGCGCTCTGGGTGTGCTACGGGATGACTTACGTTCCGTGTCCTGCTCCGATGATGACCTCGACAGCGATTCCACCGCTGCGTGAATTGACGCTCGTGGGTGCTACCGCGACGACGCCCGGACGTTTCTGCAAGCGCTCGCGTAGGCTTACCCCGATTCCACCGCTGCTCGCGTCCTACCGTAGAAGATATTCTCCGATCACCCGTCAATCGTAGTGCTCGCTGGCACAGTCCTGTCCTGAATGCCTGCTGATCGGCCTGCTTGCTTTCCGCCAAGCCGTGTGTTGCTTGCTCGCCCGTTCGCAACATAATGCTTAGGACGGCGTGTGTTGCTAGAAGTGGCGTGATTTTCCCGTTGCAGCCCAATACTCGTTGTGTTGCTTGCATGGCGTGATTTAACTGTTCTGTCGCAACATGTTGCTTCAGGATGGCGTGTGTTGCTAGAAGTGGCGTGATGTAACTGTTGTGTCGCAACATGTTGCTTTAGGATGGCGTGTGTTGCTAAAAGTGGCGTGATTTTCCCGTTGCGGCCCAATCCTCGGTATAGTTTATTCACGATTTCTTCGAATAATTAATGCTAAATTCTTTCGGAGTATTTTTATACTCTCGCAACCTGTTGCTACAGAGTATAATAGTTTTCTTCACCTAACGGTTGTTTGTATCACCTAAAACTAATCGAGTTAGGTATAGGGTTATATATATATAAATGATCTGAAATCCGGGTGACTGTCTGTCCGTCCGTCCGTCCGTCCGTCCGTGCAAGCTCTAACTTGAGTAAAAATTGAGATATCTTTATGAAACTTGGTAGACATGTTTCTTGGTACCGTGAAACGGTTGGTATTGCAGATGGGT